TGTGGGAAGGGTTGCGGGTCTAATGAGGCGGTGATCACGGACGTGAGGCCGGAGGATGGGATGTACTTGCTGGTGTATGAGCTCAACACGCCCAATGAGAGCTTCGAATGGGTCGACCTGAATATGGTGGGTTGAGTTCGGTTCAGTTGGGTAGGGTTGGGTTGGAACGGGTTGGGTTGTAAGTTGCAGCGTGTTTTTGAGTGCTCTTAAGGCCGCCTGGAAGATGGTATGTACTCGCTGGTGTATGAGCTACGCCAAATGAGAGCTTCGAATGGGTCGACCTGAATATGGTGGGTTGAGTTCAGTACGGTTCGGTTGGGATGGGTTGGGTTGGGTTGTGAGTTACAGGGGGGTCTATGAGGCAGTGATAACAGACGTGAGGCCGGAAGATGGGATGCATTCGCTGGTGTACTCCTCTCATTCCCCCAGACTCAAAGGAAGACATCACGAGGTAACTTTTGAGTCGACTCATAAGTCAGAAGATGGGATGTATTCACCGGTGTACTCCTCTCACAATCTCATTCCCCCAGAACCAAAGGAAGGAAGACATAGTTTGTGTGCAAGGCCCCCGTCTGTGATTGTCTTGATTTCATCTGCCCACCCACGTTCACCCCTCTTCCCCCGCTCCCATCCCACATCTGCGTTTACTTGCCAGATTCAAAACTGACTCTCTGCCTCTCCCACATCTCCTCTCACTCCCCTTCAGATTCCAAAGGAGGACATCATATGGGTGGAGCCCCCCCCACTTTGTGCTTGACTTTATTTCATCTGTCCACCACCCACTTTCCCCTCTCTTCCCCCTGCTCCCACCCCACCCCCACCACCCCCCAGATTCCAAAAGAGGACATGATATGGGTGGAGGGGGCCCCCCAGTGCTCGACTTTCATCTGCCCACCCGCCCTCCCTTTTCCTCATTCGTACTTTCTCTCACCTTCTCGCTTCCCTCTCCCCCCCTCACCCCTTCAGACCCCAAACGACGACATCATATGGGTGGAGGGCCCCCCAGTTTGTGCTTGACTTGATTTCATCTGCCCACCTCCCACTTTCCCCTCTCTTCCCTCGCTCCCACATCTCCTTTCACCCCCTTTAGATTCCAAAGGAGGACATCATATGGGTGGAGGGCCCCCCAGTACCCGACTTAACTGCACTCCTGCCCCCCCTCTCCCCACCTGCCCTGCACCTCTTCTCACCCCTTCAGATCCCGAAAGAAGACATCATATGGGTCGAGGGCCCCCCAGTACTCGATTTTATCCGCCCACCCGCCCTCCCCCTAGCCGCCACCGCCGCTGCTGCTACCGCCCCTGCTGCTGCCCCCGCTGCTCTTATGGCTGCTGGGGTGGATAAAGACGGCAAGAAGGCAGCAGCAGCAGCAGCAGCAACAGCAGCAGCGGCAGCAGCCGCAGCACGAATGGCCATGGCTGTCCCTGCTGCCGCTGCACCTCGTGCACTGGGGAAAACAGGACCTGCTGCTGCTGCTGCTGCCGGCGCTGCAGGAGGGACAGGGGCAGGAGGGGGGGCGGGGGTGGGAGCAGGAGGAGGGGCTGGCGCGAGCTACTATGGGAATGTTGTGGGGGTGACGGCAGGAGGTGGGCCTGGAAAGGGGGGGGAAGGGGAGGGAGGAGAGGGGGTGGCGGGGTGGTTGAGGCGAGTGGCGAGCCTGCCGCCCCTAGTGGAGATACTCAAGGTGAGCGTTTTGAGCTTAAAGGTGAGGGTTCGAATCTGGACGGTGGCGGTTAACTTGGAAGGGGAGGGAGGAGAGGGGGTGGCAGGGTGGTTGAGGCGAGTGGAGAGCCTGCCTCCCCTTGTGGAGATTTCAAGGTGAGCGTTTTGAGCTTCAAAGGTCAGGGTTCGAGTCTGGAAGTTGCTAGTTTGGAGATTTGGATTTTCTTTTTTTCTTTCTTTCAATCGTGGGTTTCAATTGCTGAGTGTGACCATTCCGAATGCTGCAGCTGAGAAGCTTACGGCCTGAATGCAAGTTGTTGAGTCATGTCACGCGTTGCAGTGAGCCACACATCTGTTTGTTTACAATTCAAGATTCTTCAAGATTCTTGCTCCCCTCCCTCACGGCCCATGTTCTCCAATGCATCCACGTCAGCTGGGGAATGTGGAAGACGAGGATAACCTAGTCAAGCTTGCAGATGCCAAGAGGCTGATCAAGGTATGCTGCTCCCTAGGCATAGTGAAATCACTTCTGAGAATTCTCAAAAGTGTTTTTAACATGTTGCTCCCTGGATATAGCTCTGCTTCTTATTATGTCTCTTATAATGCTCCTGTATAAGACAGGAGCTCCTGTATATGACCCTGCATGTGTCAGTGCTCAGTGTCCTATCTGGTATGATCCGTCGTTTCATTCTTTCAACCCATTTGCCGTCGATTCATCTCTGCCGTCAATCCACCTCTGCTGTCGAGCGATCCCTGCCGTCGATCTTTTTCTGTCATCAAACCATCTTTTCCATCATTCAATCTATGCCGTCGATTCGTCCCTACCATCAATCCATCTCCGCCGTCAACCCATCTCTACCGTTGATCCATCCCTTCTTTATTCCAATTCTGTGTTTCAGGAGCGGGAGAATGAGCTGCGAAGGGCACTGGCGATACTAGGAGAGGACAGTGAGGAGGACGAGGAGGAGGAGGGGAAGGAGAGGGGAGGAGGAGTGAGGGAGGAGAAGGGTGGCATTATCAAACGAGGCTCTTCCAAGCAGTCAGGTGCGTTCCAGGGTTGTGAGAGCGGGAGTGAGTGAGAGAGGGAGCTGCGAAGGGCACTGGCATTCATAGGAGAGGACAGTGAGGAGGATGAGGAGGAGGGGGGGAAGTAAAGAGGGGGAAGGGAGACTGGCACTGTCACACGAGGCTCTTTCATGCAGTCAGGCGCGAGGGGTGGAGACGGATGGGGAAGAATGGAGAGGGTGGGAAATGGGTGGAGAGAATGAGAGAGGGGTGTGAGGAGGTTTGTTTGTTTGTTTTTCTTCCTTTTATCTACTTCTTTCTTTCCTCTTCCAGTGCTGCGTTCCAATTCGTTTGCGTGCCCCAAACAAATCCCCCTCGTTCTCCCCTCTCCTTTGAAAGCAAACCATGATGCTGTGTATGTTTTTCCCCTCTCCTTTGCAAGCAAGTCGTTTGCGAATTCTCAAAAAACATACATTGCAAGCAAACTATGGTCCTTCCACTCACCTGCGGAGGCTCCTATTGTCTCTTCTTCTCCCCTTTTTTCTGCTTCACTCACCACCATATTTTCCCGATTTTTCTGCCCAACCCACCAACCTCTCCCTTTCTTTCGTCCTGCCCTCCACCCCCCCCTTTGTTTCTCCCACCCCAGTCTCCCCTTCTGCTTCTGAACCCTCCACAGCCAGTGGCCAGGGCAGAGAGGGGGCACCAAGGGGAGGGGGAGGAGGAGGGGGAGGGGGAGGAGGAGGGGGAAGAGGGGGAGGTAGTGGAGGAGGAAGGGGAGGGGAAGAAGCAGGAGGTAAGAGGGGAACAGGAGCAGGGGAAGAGGGAGGTGGGCGGTCTCAATTGTCTTCTAGCAGCCGGTCCTCTGATGAGGATGATGAGGATGATGATGTCAGCAAGGGGCGCAGTGACGACGATGATGACGTCAGCAAAGGCCGGCGCAGCGGTGCAAGTGGCAGGGGAAGCCCGGGCAGGAAAGAGAAAAGCCTGAGAGGTGGGCCGGGCAGCCCGAGGGGCAGAAAAAGCCCAAGAGGGAGGCAGGAGAGTGATGGGAGTGGGAGGAGCGGGGAGAATAGTGAAGGGAGTGAGAGGCCGAGGGGAAGGAGCAGGGAAAGGAGTGTTGATAGTGGGAAGAGTGGGGAGAGGCGGAGTGTGGATAGTGGGAGGAGTGGGAGGAGTGGGGGGCGAGGGGATAGGAGTGATGATGACGAGAAGGGGAGGGGCAGGAGGGAGATGAAGGGAGGAGGGGAGGAGGGCGGAAGGAAGGCAGCAGCAGGTGGGGCGGCGACAAGGGGGGACAGTAGAGAGAGCAGCGAAAGAAAGAGAGGAGAGCGAGGCGGGAGTGTGAGCAGCAACAGCGGCAGCCCGAAACGAGCCAGATCCGGAGGAGATAGGGGGACCGATCAGGACAGGAGTGCAGCAGCCAACAGGGAAGGAGGGGCAAGGGGTGGGGAGAAAAAGCCACGGTCCGAAGCTAGTGGAAGGAGGTCGGGAGGGGGGGAAGATGAGGAGGATGAAGTGGATATAGACAGGGATGAGGGCACAAGCCGGGGGTCCCCTGCAGCATCAAGAGGGGACTCTAGGGGAGAGTCTAAGGGGGATTCTAAGGGGGGATCCAGGGGGGGTGCTACTAAGGGAGGGTCTAGGGCTGGCTCTGGGGGTCCCCCTGGCGGTCGTTCCCCCAGTCACTCCCCTGGTCGCTCTGATGGCGGGTCCTCTTCGGATGAGTCCAAGTAGGGCTGTTCTCTTCTGTTCTATTTTGTTGTGTTGGATTGTCTTGGTTGGCCAATGCATCCGTGTGGGGCACTAGAGCTTGAGATACGGGTATGACAGATCAGGTGCAGCTTTGGCACTTCAGGTGCTGCTTTGGCAATTTAGGAGCTATGGCAGATCAAATGCTTTGGCAGTTCAGGTAATTTGGCAGATCAGGTGCTTTGGTAGTTCAAGTGCTATGGCAAAGCAGGTGCTTTGGCAGTTCAGGTGCTATGGCAGTTCAGGTGGTTTAGGGGAATTTTCAGTGTGAGCCTGATATGAGGTTTGCTTGATACGAGGCATGGGAGCACGCTCTTACACAAATTTAGGGACTACTATCACATGTAAGGACTAGTATCACATGTTCTTCATCACAGATACCACTCATATGCACAAGTTCTAATCTTTAACCCTATTTGCAGTCTATATCCTACATAAATCTACGGTTTTTAGTTGTAGAGAAAGAGCACATTCCAGCAAAAAAAGGCGCTGAAAAGCATGGAATGCTGAAATGGCGAACCAGCTACGCAACAGCCGAAAAGGAAATGGAGTTGGATGCACTAGTTGACAAGACGAAGCACTCATGCTTTGAGCGCAGCGTACATGGCATCAATGGGCTCCTGCGCACATGGCAATGGGGAGCAAAACCGCAGGGAAAGGATGGATGAGTGCGCAAGTTAGCACAAGCAAGGCAGCACCACGAGCCTCGTGTAACAAAGAGCATGAGCAGCCTCCCGCAATCGTAACTCAAAGCAGGAGCATCTCCTGGTATGGTAGTGCTTGAGCTGGGCATGCACTGGGCGTACTTTGGCCTGTTGTTGGGTGTGGTAATGTCTCTATCCATACAAAGGGCGTGCCATGCCCATACCAGCGTTACCACCCAGATGTGCTTGTTCACAAGAACGGAAGGTAGGGCGGCTGTAGACGCACCTGGTAGTACTTGAGCAGCTGAGGCCTCTTCTTCTTGAAGGTGGGAGTGAGGAGGTCTCTTGCTGCATCGAAGGGCACACTGTCCAGATGCACTCCCTTCACCATCTCAAAGCCCTTGAGCTGCTCCGGGCAAATGGCACGAAGGAGGGAAGGGAGGTGAGGAGGTGGGGAGGGAGGGAGGGAGCGAGGGGGGTGGGGGAAAGGGGGGGGGGGGGGGGGGGGGGGGGGGGGGGGGAGAGGGAGGGAGGGAGGGAGGGAGGGAGGGAGGGAGGAAGGGAGGAAGGGAGGGGGGGAGGGGGGGGAGGGAGGGAGGGAGGGAGGGAGAGAGGTAGAACTTGAACAAGAGAGTGAGCAAAAGAGTGAGGGAGATGAGGGTGGGTGTGGGGGCGCCACGCCTCGCTCCACATCAACGAGGAATGTTGTCCTCTGGCACTGCATGCATTCATGCATGCATGACGAGGTCTGCACTTGCCCTTCCCTCTTCTCCACATACCCTTCCCCCCTCTCCCCTTCCCCTGTTCCCCTCCCCCCTCTCCCCTCTCCCCTTCCCCCCTCTCCCCTTGCCCTGTTCCCCTCCTTTCTTTCCCTCTCAACCCTTCCTCCTCCTGCCTTCCCTCCCATCTCCCCCCTTACCTTCTCTCCTCTCTGCCTCCACTCTCCCTTTGCCCATCTCTCTCTTTGCCCATCTCTCTCACCTTGCCCATCCCCCCGTCCCTCACCAGGCCCTTCTTCCCAGTCTCTACAAGTTTCTCCAGGATGAACTTCTTGGCCTGGGGTGTCTGGCACAGGGCAGCATAGTCGCCCTCCACTCCAGCGCCCTTGGCCCATGCCTCTAGAGCCGGCTGGTTCGGCACCACCACCGCCACCAGCACCGCCTCGAAGCTGTTCCCGTACACCCACACCTGATATTGGGGTGGGGGTGGTGCAGTGAGGTGGAAAGGGGCAGAGCGGGTTACAACGGGGTGAGCAGATGTGAGTGGGGTAAAACAGGACTTTAGAGAAGGGAACCACACAGAAATTGATTACAGTTCAATAGTGAGCAAGCAACCCACCATGACCATAGCGGAGCAGATCATACTATTGCTCCAGGTTCCTTCCCATACTCGTTCTCCAGGACCTCCACAGCCACATGTGAAAGCCAAATCATAACTGAATCTGTAAATTCATTCATACGCATACCATAATGAGTAACTCACCATGTCTATAGCGGAGCAGTTGCCATACACATTCTCCAGGTTCTCGACGGCCACATACTCGCCCTGAGCGAGCTTGAAGATGTTCTTCTTGCGATCCACTATCTTCATTGACCCGTCCGCCTGCCACTCGCCCACGTCCCCTGCTCACAAGCAACGCATGGAAGGATGCACACATGCACACATGAGGTGACTCCTGAGCCGATTCAATAGTCGCTTGAAGATGTTCTTCTTGCGATCCACGATCTTCATTGACCCGTCCGCCTGCCACTCGCCCACATCCCCTGCTCACAATGACACACATGAATGGATGCACAAATGCACAGATGTACAATGTCACACTCGCACAATGTCACACACGCACAATGTCACACACACACATGCACATTGCACACATGTTCAATTGTACAGATGCATAGTTGAACACGCACACATACATGCATGCGACCTTGCCTGACCGCCCCATCCTCCTTTGTATCTTCCTTGATCAAAGTCTCCACCTTCCCTATTTACTATCCTCTCTCTAGCACACCTGTACGGAACCATCCCTCATCATCAATCGCCTCCTTGGTCAGTTCATCCCGCTTGTAGAACCCCGTGAACAGAATCGGGCCGCGAAGACATCTCTCGCCTCTCTCTCTTTCACCACCCACACCCTAATGCCCCTCCTCTTTCTCCCACATCCATCTCTCCCCACCCTCTCTCGCACACATACCTGTACCATACGACCGTAATTTTGAACCTTACTTGTATGGAACCATCCCTCATCATCAATCGCCTCCTTGGTCAAATCGTCCCGCTTGTAGTACCCCGAGAACAGAATCGGGCCGCGAAATATCTTCCATAGACTCCACCCACACACACCCCAACGCCCCCCTCCTACCTCCTCCCACCCTCTCTATCGCGCACACACCTGTATGGAACCATCCTTCATCATCAATCGCCTCCTTGGTCAAATCATCCCGCTTGTAGTACCCCGAGAACAGAATCAGGCCGCGAAATATCTTCCGTAGATGCCACCCACACACACCCCAACGCCCCCCTCTTACCTCCTCCCACCCTCTCTATCGCGCACACACCTGTATGGAACCATCCCTCATCGTCAATCGCCTCCTTGGTCAGATCATCCCGCTTGTAGTACCCCGAGAACAGAATCGGGCCGCGGAGGCAGATCTCCCCGCGGGCGGGAGTGGCGAGGGCGTCATAATTCATGTCAGGCACGGACTCAAGGCGCGTCTCCAGAGTGGGCATGGGGGGGCCCACCGTGCCTGCCTGCTCGATGCCCTCTGTGTACGAGATAAACCCACTGGCGTTGGTTTCGGTGAGACCTGATGGCATTAAGAGGGTATTGAGAGAAGGGGAGAGAGGGATTGAGGGAGTGGGAGGGGGCATGAAAAGGTGGGGAAAGAGAGGGAATGAGGTGAGGGGGCATGAATGGGAGTGGCGAGGGCATCATAGTTCATGTCAGGGACTGACTCGAGGCGCGTCTCCAGAGTGGGCGTGGGCATGCCCACTTAGGGGCATGGGGCATGGTTTGGTTTGAGTGAAGTGTGGTTCGCAGTTCATCCCAGCAAAAGATGCGCGGTGTATCCAGCGCCCGTATTGTGAACCCAATGGTGGCGGTCACCTGCTCATAGTAATCTTGAGGTGAGATTCGTTTTTACTGTTGAGTTGACTTCTGTGTTATATCTAAAAGCGGCTCACCATTTCCTTGGACCACGGGGCAGCACATGGTCATCTTAAGGAACTCCTAGTGTGGGGTGAAGGGGGCAACACCGCACTGCACTACTCTATAAGCCAGTAGGAGCAGCAGGCTCACCATAGCCCTTCTCTTCCCTTCACCTGTCACCATATCTGGCTTGACAGTAATTCACCATATCCTTGCACCACAGGGCAGCACATGGTGATCTTGAGGAACTCCTCCACGTGGGGGGCGAGAGGTGCAGCACCGCATGGCACCACTCTGTAAGCCAGTAAAGAAACTCACCATATCCTTGCACCACGGGGCAGCACATGGTGATCTTGAGGAACTCCTCCACGTGGGGGGCGAGAGGTGCAGCACCGCATGGCACCACTCTGTAAGCCAGTAAAGAAACTCACCATATCCTTGCACCACAGGGCAGCACATGGTGATCTTGAGGAACTCCTCCACGTGGGGGGCGAGAGGTGCAGCACCGCATGGCACCACTCTGTAAGCCAGTAAAGAAACTCACCATATCCTTGCACCACGGGGCAGCACATGGTGATCTTGAGGAACTCCTCCACGTGGGGGGCGAGAGGTGCAGCACCGCATGGCACCACTCTGTAAGCCAGTAAAGAAACTCACCATATCCTTGCACCACGGGGCAGCACATGGTGATCTTTAGGAACTCCTCCACGTGGGGGGCGAGAGGTGCAGCACCGGAGCAGATGGCCTTCACCCGCCCTCCCAGCCGCGCCTTGATCTGCACACAGGACACGCGAGGAAGAGACGAGTGAGACAGGTGGGGAGCAGGGAACAAGAGAACGCAGGGAGCGAGAGATGCTTTGAGGATTCTGACAAACAGCAAGGGCATGGGACAGAAGCTCAGAAACTCCTGTTCAACTGTTATGTGTCTTGGACATGTTCTCATTAGCGACCATTTACCTTGTTGAAGACAATCGCATCTGAGATCGGAGCGGCAAACTGCACGGCCACGCCCGCCCGGATGCGAGCCTGCTTGCGGCTGTATGCCAGGTCAAATAGGAACTTGCTAATGCCCCCTGCTGCTTCTACCTTCGCCTTCACACCTGGCAGGCAGGGAGGGAGATGCAGAGGATGGCGGGAGCAGGGAAAAAGGTGTTAGAGCGGACGGATGAACAGAGAGGAAGGGACGTGAACCTATAGACCAGGTAAAAAGAGGCCTATGCGAAACCGGGAACCCTGAGATGGAGGTGTGATGCAGGTCAGGCCGAGGAGGGGCGAGCCGGCAGCAGTAGTGTGACAGCAGAGGAAGAATATGTTTGATAGCAGTTGTGAGGGGTGAGGGATCAGAGAGGAGGGGAAGGGAGGGGGGAGCGGCATGGGAGCGACCAGCATGGACGCAATCAAAGACGCGAGGCATGCCACAGAAGAAGGGAAAGAAAGAGAGGATAGGGGAGAGGGGAGAGAGGAGAGGGGAGGAGGGGGGAGGGGGGGTGCTGACCAGCGTAAATGCGGTCGAAGATGCGGGGGACGCCACAGAAGAAGGTGGGCCTGAGCTCTGCAATGTCCTCCGTGAGCAACTTGACGTCCTGGAGAGAGGAGGGGAGTGCGGGGAGAGGGGGAGCGAGTGGGGGGAGAGGAGGGGGGGAGGGGAAAGAGAGGCGGGGGAAACAATTCAGCGGAATAGCGAGAGGGGCAGAAGTACATGCAACTTGTTAGTGGATTTACACGGACCCACCATACACATAGAGCCTCCAATACAAGCAGCGAGCACACAGTGCGAGCACAGTAACTGCTGGATTTCTTGCTACGGGATATGAGCGGGGATCACCCCACACGTGCGTGGATGAGGGCTCACCCCACGCCAGAAGCCAATGGCGCCACCGAAGTAGGTGATGAGCTCCTCAGCTGAGCGGTCAAAGATGTGCGCCAGGGGCAGGTAGGAGAGGTACATCTCGTCTTCGCCAAACTGTGAAGGAGGTGGGAAAAAAAACAGGGGGCAAAATGCAGGCCAATATCAGGAACAACAAGCTGCAACCTCGCATCGCAACTAGTATTGCCAGGTTGAATCGGCAGGTATGTAGACGGGCACAAAGGCTGATGCTGTAAGATCGGGGCTAACGCATTTTGCTGTTAAAAACACCGCATGTGCTCCTGTGACTGTATGCAGCTGAGTCTTACGTTGATGTTATTGTATGCAACGAAATCCTTATTCCCGGCAATGGCAGCCAGCAATGCCCTGTGCGTCAAGAGAACTCCCTTGGGCTCGCCAGTGGTGCCTGGGGTGGGAAGAGGGGGGAATTAGGGAGGGCACGCAGGTATGATATGACAGATTGTGAAGACAGATTGTATTGCAAAGCATTAGAACATGAATCTTGTGGACAAGAATCTGGAGTGCACACAGCGATTATAAATGTTAGGCCAAAAAAATGCAACCTGACATGAGCACAACATGATTTGGTTGCAACGGTGGTAGTAGTATCTGTATTGACACAATCAGGCACAAACGGCCATGCCTGAAACTGAGCACGCTACATCCGATGGTGCATCAAGAAGTACCTGAAGTGTACATGATCGTGCAAATATCCTCTGGCTTTGGAGGGATGGGCTCCGCAGAGTTCGACTCGCCCTGAAAACATCCAAAAGAAAGCGACAAGTGGTGTGCGCTGAATTTGCCGTTCCAGCATAGATGATCGTTTCTCCTGCAATGACTGCAATTGTTGACCTAAATGCGCTCTCAGGAATCACTAGATAGACCCCCTAGCTGGTCCACATGTGCTCACTGAAGGAAAATTGGCTGAGTTGGCCGTAACAACCTTGATACCCACAAAACAATCTCACTGAGCAGTACCTCCTTAAGAGCGTCCTCCCATGAAAGCGCCTTGATGCCAAGGTCCTTCAGTGCCTTGCTCGACTCCTCATCCACGGCTCCCATGCTTATAACAGCTGCCAGGAAAGGAACAAAGGAGAACGGAATTTACACATACTCAGTGGTTATGGAGGTTCGTTCAAGGAAGAGCATGTTCGAGATGGTTCGCTGCAAAGTGCGGCTCTATCAGTTTGTCAAAAGACGACACCGGGATAAGAACGACACTCACTCTTTACGTGCTCTGTGCACTTGGGGAGACTCTTGAGAAGCTGCAAACAGGAAGAGAGTCATGGGGTCGAATCAGAACAGATGCACAAATGATGAAAAATAAACCAGCTCACAGCTGAAGATTAGTCACGTGTACAGAGTTTGGAAGCAGTGTCACAGGCATAGATTTTCCAGCTGGTCGGTTCGCACTGGACTTGAGAGCTCACCGCAGGGAGATTGGCAGGCATGACAGCGACCGAAGACACTTCTGCGTGGTTCAAAATGAACTCCACTGCCTCAGGGCCTGCGGATAAGACAGCGGGGACACAGAGGGGATATGATATAGAGGGGATCGAAGTGAAATGATGCAGACATGCGGAAGTAGGTGAACGGAGGATGCTGAGGAGAAGCAGATAACCTTCCTTCTGCGATGCAGAGGAACCTTAAAGCGGACACGTACCGAGGGTGTCATAGAGTGGCACGCAGTGGATCGATTGGCTGTTGCATGCCTGCAAAAGTTACAGACATCTCCAGCACAATATCAGTGAGACTTCAAAGCACAGCTGATTGGGCTACAGCCTCTGAAATCAAGAAACGGAAGCCCGGTGATGTGAACGAACAATGCTTTTTAAATGCGTATGAGAAGCAGGCGCACCTCCATGGTCATGAACCATTCAGGCGAGTTGATCCCATATATGCCAACGCGGCTTTGCTGCACCAAAGAAAAAGAGAAAAGAGACATAATTTCAACATCAGTTGGAGAATAACGACGTTGTTACTATTCTATCGTGACAGCAAACGAAACACAGGAAATATTATATTGAAATGTTGAATCTCCATGGAAAATATGGGCATTTGGTGAAAAGAAGCATCAACATACGGGTTGAAGGCCGTTGAAGCGAAGTGCAGACGCGATCTTCTTGACCGTAGCGCCAACCTCCTCGTACGTTTGCCATTCGTATGGACCCGCCTGAACGGTTTTTCACGTCGAACAGAGTTTTATAACACGAGACTCAACTTCGCAGGTATTGAAGTACAATTACCTGTTGTAGACACTAGCAACAGCGATATAAAAATTGTCGAGTAATTAAGCTGAGTAAATGCTTACCACGCCGTCGACGACTGATCGCTTTCCTAGGAACTTGTTCTTCGCGAATTTCTTGACGGAATTGCTGAGATCATCAAACATTCAAGGTTAGCAAATTGTGCAAGACGACTGACAAGAAAGAGATCCAAGTCGAGAATAAGATGGCCCCAGAGACTGAGATGCTGTACGCGGAGTGCGGTAACAAGATTAGGGGTATTCAGATGATAAAACACAACATTTGGATGGTTGAGACGTACTCGAAAAGCTCCCAGACGGTATTGATGCCTTCCAGCTTGGCATACCCATCCTTGGCGTAGAAACTTTTATACGTTGGTCCTGCATCAGAATAAGAAACCAGGTCCTTCAGTCTGCTAATCAAGATTGACGTTTCCACACTCAGACTGGCGGGGACACTGTGCATAAGTTGCAAGTCCAAGGGATTCACCTTTGGAAAGCACCCCTTCCGACGCTGGAACAGCATCTGCTGTCTTGATCGCCCACTTCATGGTGCCTTCCCCAGCAGGAGTTCCAGCCATGGCTGCAATTTTAGAGCCACTGAAAAAACACTGCTTGCTAAGGCGAACAGCAGCAAAATCAGCCAGAAACCTCTCAGGTAAGGAAATGCCGGCAGATCAATCGAAGGGGGAGGTTGTGTCTGACGGGCTCGCTCACTGATTGATCGATGACTGACGAAACCTTAAGACCATCAGGTCAGTTGGCGACAAGTTTGGTTGACTGCACCTCGATGGATCTAAGCTTTCCGTTTGAGAAGATACACATTCGCGAACTGGTGTCTACAGTATCTGTTTTCGCAAGGCAGGCGGCCAATCATGTTTGTCGCGCCACGCAAAGTTCCAGGGAGGGAACATTCTCCATCTCCGTCATTCTCAACCTCGACTTGCAGTTGAATAACCTGGAAGGTGTTTCGAAACACTAGAACAACAAAAAATCATCGGCCATTTTCACGTGCATGCAGCTTAGTCTAGGAACTTTATTCAAGTGCATACAATGTTAGTGGGCAGGTGGGTACACATTACGCAGCTTAGAAATTTGTTGTCGTAAAATTACTCGCTTCCCAAGATTCGATTTTTTTTTTTTTTTTAGATAATGGATATGTACACCGGAAGAACAAACATACATAAGCAATAATAGTCGTAACTGTACCAAGTTTCGTTTTGAATTAGCACAAATAGTCGAGAATATATATGATTTCGGATTACACACTACCATTTTCAGGTGCATGCAACTTAGCAAAGGAGCGATATTCAAGTGCATGCAAGGTGATTGTGCATGTGCAAACGCGTTTCTGGGGTTAAACATTCTTTTCCGTAATTTCACACACTTATCAAGATTTGATTCGAGCTGGCACAAAAGGTCTGAAATATATGCGATTTCGGGCAACGCAAATCGGAATCGGAATGTTTGGCTCTCGATGCTGCATGTTCCGACGTCACTAAGTGCAATGATTGCATTTTTGCCCAATTGCTACTCAAATTTATGCTTCGCACCAACTCTTTTTGAACGAATCTAATGCTAGATCTGTTGTACTGTTGACGGAGATGACGAGTGCTGCGGAAAGGTGTGCAAAAATTAGGAGAGGGTAAAATTGAAATATGCCCGAAAGTTTGTAGATTTTGGCCCTACCAAAATTAATGTTTTGTCGTACATGTATATTGAAATAAGTGGAATATCATGGCATTAATTACGTGTCATTTAATATACATGTATCGTACGGTATATCCTTAATAGCGGTAGGGTTAACTCTCCTAACACTCGGGCAGATTTCTCGAGTTTCGGATTACCATTTCCAACCAATGTACGTCCCATCAGGGTTTGCTGATTTGACCCGCGAAGCATCCGCAACCTGGCGCCAATAGTACAATCGATTTAGTATTAAATTCGTTCAAAAAAAGTTGGTGCGAAGCAGAAATCTGAGTAGGAATTGGGCAAAAATACAATCATTGCACTGAGTGACGTTGGAAAATGCAGCATCGAGAGCCAAACATTCCGATTCCGATTTGCATTGCCCGAAATTGCATCTATTTCATATCTTTTGTGCCAATTCGAATCAAATTTTGGGAAGCGTATAAAATTACATGAGCAATTGTTTAACCTGAGAAACGTGTATTCACCTGCACAATAACCTGGCATGCACTTGAATAGCGCTCCTAGGCTAAGTTGCATGCACCTGAAAATGGCCGGATTACAGAAATCAAAATCGGAATGGTTGGCTCTCGATTCTGCATTTTCCGACGTCACCAGAAGCAATCATTGCATGTTTGCCCAATTTCGACACGAAATTTTGCTTGCCCTAACTCTTCTTGAACGAACTTAAATGCTAGATCGGTTGTACTGTTGATGTGCGTGACGGACGCTGCGCTTGGCAAATCAACAAATTCTTCTTAGGCATGCAGAAATTCGTGTTAAAATTGGGCAAACATGCAATGATTGCTTCTGGTGATGTCAGAAAATGCAGAATCGAGAGCCAACCATTCCGATTTTGCTTTGCGTAATCCAAAATCGCATCTATTCTCCTCTGTTTGTGCTAATTTGAAATAAAGTGCGTGATTTTAATATACCACATTTCTAAGATGCGTAAAGTGTACACACCTGTCCAATAACAGAGCATGCACTTGAATACAGTTCCAAGAATAAATGGCATGCACTTGAAAATTGCCGAAAACACGTGGGTGTCGGGCGAAAGTCCCATCTCTGACTGCCAAGTGTCCCTCCTCTGGAACTTGGGTGACTTTAGTGATGCCTCCAGTACAATCTCCCAACATTCTCCCTAGCTGATTGTTCCAGCCCAAATCCCTACGGAAGTCATGACCAGGCCTGTCGAAGTCCCTGGAACCAACACTTTGAGGCCTAAGCTGTTCGAAGTTTGGCCCTGATTTTCACGAAGGTGATCGTTTTTTAGCCCTTAACGATCACGGGCGAAGGTAATATTCAATACTTGAAATCCGGGCTTCCTACAGAAATGTACGTGAGCTCTAATGGCACAAAGGCAGATGTCAACCTATTACTTAGCAGCGGGAAGGAGTATGCTAACGACTCATCTGCATACCTATAGCAAGGGGGGAAGTGGGGTGGGGAGGGGAGGAGAGGGGTCGTAGGGCAAAACATCGTCAGCAAAGAAGTCGTTTAAACTCGTGTGTACAAACGCAAAGTACTTCCGAGGTGGTCGTTTTTCATGTAGTACTACTAGTGTGAACTGATGGGGCAAATTTTCTCTTCACCACTTTGGGTGTCAGTGTCGCGAGTCCAGTGTGAGTACTTGGAACTGTGAGGAGACGAATTGACTTGAAAATATTTTGCAACTACAGCCATAAAATCAACACAAGAAAGTCCTTTTTTGCCTAAGTAGATAGCTTGTGGGAGATTCAGGGAGCTTGTGGGAGATTCAGGGAGGATGAGAGCGGGAGGAGAAGAGTGGCACTTGGGCATCTCGCAGGGCTACTTTACTCCTGATCCGGGAAATCAGGGAAAGGCCCCGAACCAGTCCTTAACGGATCCGGGTTGAGACCCCTATATCTCAAAATCAGCCCGTAAGAAAAACGGGCTTCCCTCGAAACCAACCCTTTGAAATGCCGAAGCTGGCTGGGAGTTCGCCCGGAATGTTCAGGGCATTAAGGAAAAATGCCCTTGAATCGACAGCCTCATGACCAGAATGGATTACTTTGTAGCAGGAACGAGAAGGAAACCAGCCCAGACCCACCGCACTTGAAGTTCGGGGGACTCGTAGTTTTGTTACTTGTAAGGCGCTCTTTAGAGCCCGCATTCCTTGTGTGCAACGCCGTGATTGGCGTTCTTGGATCAACTATCACTCCACAAGACAGTCAGCAGCTAGCGAAATGTCGCAATCTTGCGTCATATCCCATGTCCAACCTGGTACATTTTTTAAGCTTACGACCTCTTATCATAGTCGCAGGCGTCCTACATTTCAAGCGATTAATTCCTTCGACCCACGAATTCCTTGTCGACGACCTCATTCCCCGTCAGGATCGCTACGCCAGTGTCTCAGCCATTCGTTCTCAAATCATACGAACGATCTATTTCATGGACGTCGAAGTCCCTCTAGTGCATTGTCACAGCGCTCACAGTCACACCGTTCGATGCGTCCTGAATCCCACCGTCATCGGACGGCTACACGAGCGTCGTCTACCAGCGGGAATGCTGGTCTAGATCCATCCGTTGAGCACAGCACCATGGTGAATGAGGAGCTGCTGCTCTTCTTCTACCAACTCGATCTGAATACCAGGCTTCAGGTGAGGGGAATTTTCGTTGTTTTATTTCATCAATAGAATTCTCACTTGCTAGCAGCATCACGCTAGAAAAGCAGTCTGCAATGTCGATTTTGCTTGACCAATGTCAATTTTTCACCTGGAAAGAGAATTTTCGATCCTCCTTACTCGTTCCGCAGAAAGCGCTCAACTTGGACCAGTACGAACCTGCTCAACTACTCCGGGAAAAGATTGCGGAGGTAAGACAAATCATGTGGTTCGACTTCTGACTAGTGCTGCTGAAGGTCGCGTATCGTTCTCGCCGAATCCGACTCTTACTCTCGGCCGCCTTTACTCTGATTATCTTGCTGTGGCAGCTTGATCGTGAAATCGCTCGACAGAGAGAAGCAAAGATGGGCACCTCATCCAAAGAAGCAGCTCAAGACAAGGGCTTAGCCTTGTTACGTCTCAAGTAAGAACATTTATCACGAACTTCGTACACCGATTCATCTGTAACATTATCTTGTGCGTTGATGACTATGTCTGCTCCATGATTTCTCTGATTGTTGTCTAATTTAATAGATTATGTGGATCTGGATCCTGGATGCTACTGACAGGGCAGGGCTGCAGCGAGCAGTGGAGCAGGAGCTGTACGAGGAAGCAGCTGAGATCAGAAAGAAAATGAGCCAACTAGAGGTGTGTCCTTTGGTTGCAAAAGTTGTGTCTTCGCAGCAGTGGACCAATTGGGGTGTCAGGAAAGGTCACTGTTTCATTATCTAGCACTAGTTACGCCAAACTATCAAACTTCTGATTTTGTTGTGCTCGCTATTTTCCAGGGTGACACTCTGGCAGCTTCTGCTGCAGCGTTGGCTATGGGCAATGTCACTTACAAGCTCCGGCTAGGGCAGAAAGTTACTCACAAAGAATTTGGTGAGTCTTTGTTAAAAAAAGTGTTTGGTTTGTGTCATTATCTCGACTGTGAATCCCTGGCCAAATTGCTCCCAGTGCTTTCTGCTCTGTTGTGCCTGGATCCAGTCCCTGCTCTGTTAGCCCATCATGTTCTTTCCGCGTCCTTAACTGTTCTCCCAGGCTATCGAGGCATCGTGGCGGGGATGGACCCCATGTGCTGTGAGACGGAGGAGTGGATGTCGGGAGCTAAGATTAGCCGACTTGCGCGGGGTTTGAACCAGCCCTTCTACCAGGTTCGTCTGGACGGTCATGTGTAGTGATGCAACTGCCACCTCGCTCCAGCTTTATATGGCTTGAATCGATCTGTCTGTTGTTCATGTCAGCAGAATGGCTATTAGCCTCAT